ATGTAATTTTTATAAGTCTCTAAAAATTATAATCTGGTAATCCTTTAAAGGTATATTATAAAATTATACAAATCATGTTATAGAAGATTTTCGCAGAAAGATTCAAGGAAGTTAAAAACTGGTTGCAAGACACATGCTCAGTCTGATTTGTCAAGATGTTACTGTTGACAAATGAAAAATGTATGAAATCTAGAGCTTTTACCAAATATTCAAATTTCTAAATTTTTAGTGAATTAGAATATCTGGGAACACTGTGTTGAAATGCCTCCAACACTGAAATTGTCTGATATCCGTCTCTTGAGATGTTGGCAGATAGTTTTACAGGCTTTATCCTCTCTTCTCTTCTTCCTAACCAAAAGGAAGTGTAGGTGGTTGTTAATCATTGTGTTGTTGCTTTTTGTCATTGTTGTTGTTAAGTGTTGTGGAATTGATTTCAACTCATAGAGACACTGTATAGGATTTCTGAGGAGGAGCTGGTGGGTTTAAACTGCCCATCTTTTGGTTAGCTTTTTTTCATGTTGTTTGTTATTAAGTAGTCATCCGATTAGTTCCCTCTCTTAGTGACTCTGTATGGAGTTTCTGAGGAGTGACTGATGAAATTGAACCACTGACCTTTTTGTTCATTGCTTCTCCTACAAGAATACAGCAGGAATTCTCTTCAGGATCCATTTCTCTATCAAAAGTAGGCAACTAAAAGCCCAAAAGGCTGTATATGTATGTGTGCGTATTATTGTATATGTTTTAATATCCAGAATACTTTTTACTTTTAGTATGCCTTGAATATTTTTTACCTGCAATAGATTATTTTTGACTGGTTAAATAAGCTTATGAAAAACTTTATTGAACCCATTTTGTACTTAGAATCTTTTTTTTTTTTGTTTTCATGCAAAAAAAATAATGATGATGTTTGACTCATTATTGATCCCTTGAAATTTGTCTAACATATGTTGTTGTGTGCGGTCAAGTATGTTCCCATTCATAGTGACCTGTATAGGGTTTCCAAGGATTTGAACCACTCCCTTTGCAGTAAGCAGTCCAGTGTTTATCCTGCAGTGCCACACCAGGACTCCAACATATATCTGATAGCAAATAAAATATTTTTTTCTAGATTATTAAGTTAGAGGGGATGGATAAATGAATAGCCAGTAAGTGACTTACAAAAGTAGATTGATACATTTTTATTTAGGCAACATGTTTTATATTATTTAACATTCTTCATAACACTGGACCTGTTTCAAACTACTATTTTAAAATGACAAGTAATCAAATTCTATCATGTCATTAATCCCAGTGCCTAAAACACTGAAAGAAATACAATATTAATATTCTAGTGTATCAACTTTATGATAACACTTGCCTAGTATTAATAACATTAATTATGAAAGGATAAGGAGAAAAGAAGGTGATAATTTTTTTTTTTAAAATCAGCAATGGGGAAGGTAATTATATATGGCATATATATAATTAGTACATAATGTTATGCTTACCACTAGTATATGTAACATATTTGCTATTTCTTAAAATGAAAGAAAGCCGTGTCTTTCTTAACTGCTTTGTTAAAGTAGAATCACTTCGTTGTTTTTTTTTCACCTAAACATATTATTTATTATTTATCAGTGTTATATGGAGTCCTGATGTGGCACTGTAGGATAAGCACTGGACCAAGAGGTCAGTTTGAACAAGATCAGCAGTTCACACACAACAGCCGCTTCTTGTAAACCCTGTCCAACTCAATAGCACTTCATGATGATGAGGATTATCAGTGTTACTCCTAGAAATCCTGAAAGCAGAATGTGGGTAAAATAATCCAAAAGTAAAATATGAAAAGTACTTATTTAAGTATCAAGAGAAACTAATAGACAATTACTTGTGCCACATTTTAAGGCAAACAATCTTTAAATTTCTTCTTATTTTATGAATTTTTTATTTTAAAATTATTTCCCTACCTTTGATGCAAAAAGATAATTGTAATGAGACATTGAAATGATCAAAATTTTTTATTTAAATCACCACCTAAAAGCTAGAATCAAGATGTACAATTTTCAAACTTTATGCCAACATTTATTTTTTGAAACTTACAGATTTTTCATAAAGACTGGTGTTGATTAGCACTGTCAAGTCAGTTCAGACTCATAGTCACCCAATATAGTGTGTCCTAGAAGCGGCTGGTGGATTTGAACCTTGCAGTCCAGTGCTTATCCTACAGCACCACACAAGGACTCCAATAAAGGCTAGTAGGATTCTACCAATAAACCACTCTATTATGTGACCACTCCACCCTGGTGTGATAATAGAGGATAAGCACTGGACAGCTAACTACAAGTTGGTAGTTCAAACCTACTTGTCCTTCAAAGTCTTATACAGGTTTACTATGAATCAGAACCGACTCAATGGCACTTAACAACAACAGTTATTAATCATCCAGTATTTGTTTAAAACTAGGAAAGATATAAGCCAAAAAACCAACCCACTGCCACTGAGTCGATTCCGACATACAGCGACCCCATATAGGGTTTCCAAGAGCATAAATCTTTATGGGAGCAGACAGCCTCTAGTTCTCCTACAGAATGATTAGTAGGTTTGAACCGCTTACTTTGCAGTTAGCAGCCCAGTGCCTAACCCATAGCACTACCAGAACTCCTTAGGGAAGGTATGTTATTGTTTGTGATAAGTGCTTTGAGTAGGTTCCCACTCATTGAGACCCTGTATAGGGTTTTGGAGGCTTTAATCTTTGCCAGAGCAGAAACTCTTATCTTTCTCCAAGCACCTAGTGAGCTCCAATCACTAACCTTTTGGTTCAAGATCCAGAGCTTAGCATGTGGATCCACAGTACACCCCAAGGTGAGGTATGTTGTTTTTGTTGTTAAGTGCCATCAAGTCAGTTCTGACTCATAGCAACCCTATATAGGGTTTCTGAGGAGCAACAGGTGATTTTGAACTGCTGACCTCGAGGTTCAAACCAACCTGGTGATCCAGTGCTTACCCTACAGGGCCACACCAGCACTTCAAGGTATAGGATATACAAAATTCATGTTAAAACATGCTTATCAGAAAATATATTCTCTGAATATATTTGTAATATATTAAAATTATGTAATTTTAATAACAATATAATATGTAATTAAGGCAATGATATCACTTTGCTTTATTTTATATTTTCTGAAAAACGACAAAGCAACTCAAGTACATTTTTATCAAGTACCAGCTTTTTTGTCCACATGTAACACACCATATAAATGGCATGCATAATGTACAAGGGAAACTGATGCCTGAGGGGGTTGTGCTTTTTGCAAATCCTCTATGATATGCATGTCATTTACATAACAATGCAGTAATTAGGAAATGCACCCAGCATAGAGATGTTGTTGTTGAGTGCAGTGGAGTTGTTTTTTTGTTCCAACTCATAGTGACCATGTATATATAGGTTTCTGAGGAGCAGCTGGTACACTTGAACAACCAGCTTTGCCATTCAAATGAACTTGCAATCCAGTGCATTAACCCATAGTGCCACACCAGGACTAAGAAATTGTGTTCAGCTTTGGATCTACTAAAGCAATGAATAGAGTTGCAGTGTTTCAATAATATTATGCATTCCCCAACTTTTTCCAGAATGAGGAGCTTCCCAATTGTAATGCAGCACATAACTCATTTACTTGCATTTTACAGTGTAGCATGAGGAAGGAAAACAGAGCTAAGAGATTTCTAAAACTAAGGCCAAAAGCACCCTGCAAGTTCCCCCATCTGTCCTCATTTCCATAAACTTCCCAGCTAAAGATTTTTATCAATCTCTTTTATTACCACCTTAATACTGATGATGTAAAGCCTAATAAGCTTAATTATTATATTTTTGCATGGAACATTTCCATCTAAATAACATGCATACATAACACGCATAGTACACATAAGAAACTAGCATACAAGGGGGTTGTTGTAATAAAGTGCAATGTGCATTATTTGTACAAAAATATAGTGATAAACGTTGCTCTAAGAACTTTTGAGTCAGTCCCAACTCCTAACAGGGTTTCTGAGGAGCAGTCTGAGTCTGAACCACTGACCTTGCAGTTCAAACCAACCTGTTGGTCAAGTGCTTATCCTATAAAGCCACACCAGGACTCCAGCAGTTTTTAGGGCAGTTAAAAAATGAAAAATAAACTAATATGCTTGAAATTTGGTTATCGGTGAGACCAGTTTTGTTTGTTTTTTCCTTCTAAATATATCTGGCATTCTTTATATGCCCTCTAAATTACAGAATAAAATTCTGACCTATAAACTTTGCAGTAGATCTCTTAAAGCCCATGAGAGTTCATTTCCTACAACCTGTAAGGAAAACAAACAAGCTATAAACAGCCCCAATCTTCTATTTTCCTTTCATCCCTCTTTATTTTAACTATCATTTAAAAATTATTCTGTTTTTTATTGTCTAGGGTTTGGATGTCAGATATTGTAATGAGGCTCCCTGGTCATGCAGTGAGCTAAACATTAAGTAATTATCTGAGGTTTTATGCTCTCACAAAGATTTACAACCTCAGAAACCTATGAGTGGTAGGACCTCTGGTAGCATAGTGGTTATGAGTCAGGCAGCTAACCTCAAGGTCAGCAGTTCAAAAACCAGCTGTTCCACGTAAAGACTTACAGCCTCAGAAACCCTATACAGAGTCACTATGAGCCGGAACCTACTCCATGGCTCATAACCACCACCAGCACCACGAGTGGTAACTGACTCGGAAAGCATTTAACAACAACAGCATTTTCTACCTTTAGGGCATATTACATATCCATGAATCAAATAACCTATATGTTTAAAACATCATGGCTTCTATGTAAAGAATTATTCACGTGAAATCCTAAAACGTATTTACACTATTTTAATCTACTATATTGGTATATTTTACATGAATCTTATGTTCAATATGTGAAAAAGTTATTTTTACTTATTTGTATGTGAAAAATAAATTGCCATTAATTTGTTGTAGTAACATTATTTTTTCTTCCTTTTACAGGCTGAAGAAAAGGCTCATTCAGAGGTAAGCCTTAGAATATTTTTCCTAGTAATTAAATTTCTTATAAAAATAATTTTATTTTTTGTTGATGCTGAAAATATAAACAGCAAAGCATGCATACACTGATTCAACATTTTCTACATGTACAATCCTTGTAGCATTTTTATATTAACAATTATAGTTTTATGTTTGTGATGAAATGAGTGTTGTTACCACTAGGGGGCTCTATGACACAATAGCAGAACTCTCCAGGACCACTAACAGTAGTGACCTAGCAATTAGAAAAATGGTCTGGGATATGTTTTCCTAAATGAAAATGTAAGGACGTTTTAAGAACAAATTCACCTTTCATATTCTTGACTATAGTTTGAACTCCAAACAAAACCTGTGGTCACAGAATCTATTCCAATTCATAGCAACCCTAGAGGTAAGAGTAGAACCGCCCCATAGTATTTATAAGGTTCTAAGTCTTTATGCGGATACCTGGTGCGGCTCTGTGGGTTAATGTGTCAGACTGCAAAGCCATTTGAACTGCAAGGTCAGCGGTTCAAGCTCACCAGCTGCTCCTTGGAAACCCTATACAGGGCTGCTATGGGTCGGAACCGACTTGACAGCACTTCACAACAACAACAAGTCTTTATCAAAGCTGACTGTCACATTGTTCTCCTGTGAACCCACTATTGGGTTCATATCACTGACCTTTTGGTTAGCAGCTGAGCTCTTTGATCACCCACTGTTACACCGAATTCATCACTTAATAAAATGTCTTTAGTTGTCGTTGTTAAGTGTCCAGGAGACACGTCCAACTCATAGTGACGCTGTAGAGGGTCTCCATGGAGCCGCTGGTAAGTTTGAACCACCCACGTTGTGATTCAAACTAACCTTGTTGCCCAGCCCTTCTCCTACAACACTACACCAGAACTTAATATGTTCAAATGTCTTGAATAATAGCATTAAACCTTTGATGAATGAATGATTGTGTGCTCTTTCTCTTTTATTAACAGTCTCCTTTCCCAGTTTGTGAGACCATCTGTGTAGGATCTATGGACTGTTAAATTTTAAACTCTAGGTACCCACAATAAAAGACAGCAGCATCCCAGCTCATCTTTTCTATACCACGACCTTGTTGCCTCTAATAGTGATTTGACAAATCTAGTGTGGAATATGGTTCCAATCCCACATATTCCATACAACCACACATTGTTGCAATCATACACAAATCAAACTGCAGAGTGTAGAGAACAGTTATTTCTACATAAATATGTGGCCAGTTGTCCTGGCCAAGGAGAGCATGAGGGCTTTAATTAGGACCCGATTCAGGATGAGAAAATAACTATTTGATTGGTTTACACTAAGGAACCAAACCACAGAGAAAAATGTCATGGCACCGGTCTTTGCAGATAAGCTCATTCCTTTGAAGTCTTTTACACTAGACTTTTAGAGTAAAATGAATTCTATTTCTAAAAATACTGCAAAAAGTATTGATTATAGCAATTTAATATTTATCATTGCTAGACCAAAGAGTGAATATGAATTTTAAGTATTGTCCTGGTGTGGCACTGTGGGTTAATACATCAGACTGCAAAGCTGTTTGAACTGCTAGGTTGGCAGTTCAAGCTCACCAGCTGCTCCTCGGAAACCCTGTATAGGGTTGCTATGGGTTGGAATCAACTCGACAGCACTTAACAACAACAACAACAACAAACTATTTTTAATGAGCCCTGGTGGCATTGTGAGGTAGGCATTGGCTTGTTAACCAGAAGGTAGGTGCTTCAAACCTCCAGTTGCTCTGAAAGAGAAAGATGAGGATGTGTGCTCCTGTGAGATATACTATCTCGGAAACCGCTTGCATCGGAACTGACATGGTGGGAATAGGTTTGCTCTGATGTTTTGTTCACTATTTTTACTTCCATCACATGGATATGATAAAGCTTCTAGCATATAGCTGCTGAGATCTACAAATGCTACATCTATTTGCTCTATTGCAGTTACCCAACTCCCTTTTTCTCATTCTTGCCCATAATGGATGAGTCATGGTTTAGATAATAATTTACTTTATTATAAATTTCCCTGGATTATATTTTAAGGGGCATGGGACCATTTTATATAGAGACTATTAAGTGGGGAAAGGCTTTTAAAAATGGATTCACTTAAAAATATACAAAGTGCAGTTTGGGGGACTGATTGTGGTCATCATAATATGAATGCAACCCAAATACTATTTTGTACTGAGATGTATCACCTTTTAAAATATATGGTGAGATGGATTAATATTTGCTGAAATTATGTAAATGTCTGCTATTTCATTTTCAGTTTAGAAATCCCTTCTTTTGTATTGTCTCTTAAAAGTGAACACCACTTGTGTTCCACAGAATCTAATATTGATTCTTCCTAAATTGGTTTTGAAAATTATTTAGACCAACATTTTAATATTTCTCCATAGTGGATTTCAGTGTTTGTTGTTGAGTGCCGTGAAGTTGGTTCCGACTCAGTGACTCTGTACCAGGGTTTCCGAGGCTGTAATCTTTATGGGAGCAGAAAGCCTCATCTTGCTCCCACGGGAACGGCCGGTAGTTTGGAACTGCCAACCTGATTTCAGTGTAGAAGAGAAGGGGGGGAAAAGACTGCTAATTATCTATGTCAGAAATGTTTTTAAACTGAAATAGCTTTCGAAAATTGCAACTACAGCAATTGAGTTCTTGTTGAAGAGCTATAGATCTGAGAAGAAAAGCATAAACCTAACACACTTGTCCATGGCATTGAGTCCATTCTGACTGGTGGTGGCCCAACAGACACAGCAGAACAGAACTGCCCATTGAGTTTCCAAGTTGTAAATCTTTATACAAGTAGACTTGCCACATCCCTTAGCAGCCTAGTGCATGACATGACAATCCCATGTGTGTCAGGATAGGATTTTAAATGGTTAAATTTTCATGGGGAGATCATTACACCTTTCAGTTGAGGAATGTGTTGTTGTTGTTGTTGAGTGCCGTCGAGTTGGTTCCGACCCATAGCGACCCTGTATAGGATTTCCAAGGAGCGACTGGTGAGTTTGAACCACCGACATTGTAGTTCAAACGGTTTTGCAGTGTGGCGCATTAACCCACAGCACCACACCAGGACTTCATGTAGGTAGGCTCAAATCACCAATCTTTCTGTTACCAACTGAGCACATTAACCATTGGCACCACCCAGAGACTCCAAGCTTATGGTGTTAATTGTAAAGTTTTGCTGTGGTTTTTGTCTGGCTTTAAAACTGTGGCTAATCTATAAACTTGGGGAAAAGATAAGGCTCTCTATGCCTGTAAAGATTTGCAGCCTTGGAAACCCTATACAGAGTCACTATGAGTCTGAAGTGACTTGACCACACACAACAACAACAACCATCTATAAAGTAAAAAAAAAAAAAAAGCATTTCTACTCTAAATTTCATTTGCAGACAAAATGGCACTAAAGATCTGAGAAGTCATTAAAACTTTAGCCAGTCAAAAGGTATTCCATGATATTTTACATGTATTTTATATATGTATTAGGTATGTACTGCTATAGTGAGCGGCTAACAGCAAGGTCTGCAGTTCAAATCTGTCAGCTATTCCATGGGAGAAAGATGAGGCTTTCTGCTCCTGTAAAAATTTACAACCTTGGAAACCCTATACAGGGTCACTATGAGTCAGAACCGACTCGACAGCACACCCCCACCACCCCACCACAGGTATATATGTGTTGCTGATTCATATCAACCCTGTATAGAGTTCCTGAAGAGTGACTGGTGGGTTTGAACTGGACCTTGCAGTTAGTAGTCCTTTGCTTATCCAACAGTACGACACCAGGACTCATGTATGTGTAATGCGTATATATTTATTTACTAAAAGAACAAAATTTCTACCTGAATTTATTACTACAAAATTATAGAGAAAGAAGAATAAATAATGTAAACTGCCTCTTAAATCAGACTGGGATGGCAAATAGAAAAAGTGAACACCCTTTAATTTACAAATCTAAGTCTCATCTTAGAATTTAGGCATTTTCCCCTCTCCTTATAAATGGCATTTGTTACTGTGTAGCTAGTATTCAGACTTCTTTATTTTCAGGAGTTGGTGCTGATATAATCAAGATAAAATGTGCTAACTATAGTATTTTATTTGTGGACTGAATTATTTGTTTTAAATAAAGTTTAATGGATATTTTTTGTTGTTGCTATTTTTTAATTATACTCAGCAAATCCATAAACTGCGGAGAGAGCTAGTTGCATCTCAAGAAAAAGTTGCTACTCTTACATCTCAGCTTTCAGCGAACGTAAGTCTTCCTTTTTTTAAAAAATAACAACATGGAAACAGATTTTTATAGTAAAATTGGGTAAGTCTTGTAACATAGTTACAAACTTTAAATGACCCTTCAAAAGAGGCATAAATCATTGAATAGTGTTGTTCATGTAAAGTGAAGTTTTTCTGTATACTCAGGTCTGCAGTTAGAATCTACCATCCGTCCCCTGGGAGAAAGATGAGGCTTAAAATGTAAACTTATTCTGATGAGGAATTGTGCTTTTATTAAAATGGATTCTTGTTTTATAATAAGATTAGAAATACAGTGTTAACTACTATTAGGGCTGCTTCTTTTTTACTTACTTTTTGTCACTCTCCGTATATATGTCTCTCTGAAATGAAGATACAGTAAGAGATGATAGTGTGTGACTTTGGAAGTTAAAATATCCATGTCCTTTGTATCCTTCAGCTTAATTTCATGAGCATTCAGTTAACTAAAAATATAAATAATTCTCAATTTGGATAGTTTACCTACGTTGTAGATGAAGCATTGTTATTTAGTGTCATCTAGTCAGTTCTGACTCATATCCACCCTGTCTAGAGTTTATGAGGAGTGCCGGGTGGGTTAGAACCACTGACCTTGCAGCTCAAACTGACTTTGTGGTCCAGTGCTTATCCTATGTATAGCACCACACCAGGGCTCCAGATGAGACACCATTCTCTTGAGAAACCTCATCTGACTACTCATAGAAGTTTAGAATGACATGCTTTTACTGACTTCAGAATGGCCAAAAATTATAATAATTGAGACTCTCAATTATAGCAACAATTACTGAATATCTTCTCATGTTCCAAGGAGTACTCAGAGATGGTTTAGTTGGTTGCTTATGTGTTGTGGAGTCGGTTCCAACTCATATCACCCGTGAATAGGGTTTCCAAGGCTGTAAATCTTTACAAGAGTAGAAAGCCTCATCTTTCTCCCTTGGAGCTGCTGGTAGTTTTGAACTGCTGACCTTGAATTAAGCAGCCCAACTCGTAACCACTACGCTACCACAGCCCCTTAGTACTCAGAGTAGATGTAGAATAATAAAGTAGAACATATGGCAGTGTACCGAGTCCTAAGGAAAAGTAGTGTTAGAAGTAACAGAGGAGGGTAAAAACACCCATGCTATTTTGCCTTATGTCGTGCTATACTCACTACTTAGTTGTCAGTTCAGTTCCACAGTAAAGTTACAGACGTGTTTCCTGTCTCACCATTCCTACCACTCCACAACTCCATTGAGTTTCCTATCTCCTAGATAAAGGATGGCTTAGCATGAGTGATAGTGTGTAGGACCATTGGATGTGGATAGAATAAAGACTTTTCCAAATACAAAAGCTTACTTCTTTTCTGCCTTTTCATTGTATAATTTAAATTCCACAGGATATGTTAGCCATCTTATTCATAAGGCATTAATATAAACACTGAATTTCAATATATTTTATCATTCTATCTCTAGGAAAATCAAATTAATTTTGGATGATTACATTTATATTTACACATGTTGCTGTTAAGTGCCACCGAGTCAGTTCCGACTCATAGTGACTCTGTATAGGGTTTCCGAGAAGTTACTGGTGAGCTTGAACTGCTGACCTTTCAGTTCAAACCAACCTTGCAGTCCAGTGCAGTACCCACAGCGCCACACCAGGAGTTCATACATGTTGTTAAGGAATGCTTAAAAATAATAGCAGTTTTTAAAGAATTGCTTAGATAATATTTGAAGATGACAGTATAACTTAAGCTGTATTTTATTTCTAAGGAAAAGTTTTAAAGAAATGGTTCAGAGACAACTATAAATTTTATAATACAGATTAGATGTATAGTAGTGTAAAGCACCATTTTCTAGGTTCTTAAATTTGTGCTCAGAGGATATTTGTTTTTGTTGTTAAGTGCTGCTCAGTCATTTCAGAATCACAGCATTCCTGTATAGGGTTTACAAGGCTATAATGCTTTATGGGAGCAGAAAGCTTTATTTTTCTCTTGATGAGAGGCTGATGGGCTAGAACTGCCAACCTTATGGTTAGCAGTAAGTACAGTGCGTATTCTACAGAGTCACTGTTCTCCCATACAGAGGTCATTATTGTTGCTAAGTGCCATTGAGTTGGCTCCAACTTTTTGTGACCCTATATAGGATTTCCGAGGAGCAGCTCGTGGACCCAGAGCAATGTAAATGCCAGAAACATGCTGGATTGTGTTTGACTGCAATGAAAAAAAGACACAATGATAGATGCTATGTGCTGGATTACCTATACACATAACAGTATCTTGAAACTATTCCTTAGGGTTTTATTTTACTTTTTAAATGTCTGTTTGGTAGGCTTAGGCATATCACTCAGACGTTGGTATGATAAATAGCCTCTATACATAATAGCATTTGGCCAATCTACAAATAACTTTACAATTATTTTACTAGGAAGAAACACATGTATATTATTTAAAAACAAAACAAAACACGTGAATAAATATATGCACACTGATGTTCATTACAGAAGTAGATATATGCACCCATGTTCATAGCAACACTATTCACAATAGCAAAATGATGGAGACACCCTAAATGTCCCTCAGTGGAAGAATGGGTAAACAAACATTGGAACACACACACAGTGGAATACTATGCAACACTGAAGAATAGCCATGTATCTGTAAAACCCCTTGTAACATGGCTGA